CTGAGAGAAGGGGCCCAGAACAAAATAAAATTTTTAATCTATCCTAATTTGAAAAGTATGTGCCTCAGTCTTCTTATCTGAATATCTACCTCAGGGGATTGTTATGAAGATTAAATGTGATGTACTGAGAATGCTTTATAAACTAAGATATTATTGTAATTAGGTTCTCTATAGAATTGGATAGGACATTGTTACAGATAAAGCCATAATGCTGTTTGGTAGAACAGAGGATCTTATTAATATGCATATCTCCAGATGTCATTTCTAGATTCTGACTGGTAGACACAGAAGTGACGATTGAAGGCCTAAAGAAGCTCTTACCCTATTTCATTCAATGAGTAAATGAAGTGGATTTGAATTGGATTTGATGAGTATCTTGAAGCATAGACTCTCAAAGGATGAAGAGGATGGGGTAGGTGACAAAAAATGTTCTAGACTGAGAGGCCTGCTGGAGACCTGCCCATACAGAGGGTTTGGCATGTGGTATGTTGTGTTCAGATGTGCCAAAGGGCCTGATGTGAGAGGAGATTAGAACAGTAACTCGGGAGCAGAGGATGGAGAACCTCAAATGCCATAATGAGGGTTTGGATCAAATTTCATAATAATAGGGAGTCACTGAAAGCTGTGGGGAAAGGAGATTGATATGATATACAAATGTGCTGTATTTTGCCATGACAGCTCTCATAGTAGTATGATTTAGCCCAAAGATGCTTGGACAGGTAAAGCATGGAGATAGCATCACTAGAAGGAAGCTATCGGGTAGCTCAGCAAGAGCCACGCAGGATAAAAAGCAGGGCTACAAGGCAGGAGGTGGAGGTATTGCATGAACTGACTTGGCTGCTGAGTGGGGCCGGGTTAGAGTGAGGGGGGGCAGGGGGACCTGTTCTCCAGTCTGAGCAATCACCACCCGCGGAGGCAGAGACTCAGCAGGGTTGATCTGACACAGCCAGGGCTCCGGGTGATCTCCTTACTAGTTTTGTGGTTTGGGGTCTGTTAGCAACTCTCTGACACCCTCAACACACTTGGGCCAATCAACTCTGGCTTGGACCATTTTCTCCCCCTCTTGCCAAAGCCTCTGGGAGGTCCATTGAGTACAGTGACAGGCCCTTCCTCTTAAAGGAGAATGCCAGTTACTTTCAAAGGAAGGGGGCACGAATTTTTGGTACTCCTTTCTCTATTTGCATCCTCATGGCAACAGAGAACACACAGATCGCTCCTGCCTACAGTTCTGAGATTTAAGATTCACAGAGCTGCTGGGTGGGCAGCTTTTGAAGACAGACTTTAGTTTTTGTATTCTTTTTCCTTCTTGGCCCAGCACAACTAGTTAAACACAGGAAATTAAGATCGCATTGTTCGAGTGCTCATTGACTAAATCCCATTAGACTGACAGTCTCTAAGCCCTGATTATTTTGTTTTTAACTTGTCCCATGTGCATAAATATGCATCATTATCACTATCAAAAGGTGTTTATTAAAAGTTCATTTGAGAGCCGTGCTGGGTTATGGGGCACTCAGGATAGTGATGGTGAAAGCCACATCCCCTGCCATGGAAGAGATGCTGAATTCTCTACCAAAGCGTTCAGGTCTCCATGTTTCTGCTGGTCGAGAGGGGGTGGAGTAGGCGGCCTCTGTTGGGAAGAAACACAATGAGGAGATGCCTCTTCGTGCTACAGGAAGCCTCGTAAGGCTTCCCTTTCGCTATAAGCAGAGCCCATACAATTTTGCAAAGTATATTGGAGGGAGCACAGCTTCTTGCAATATATTTAGCAGAGCTTGTGCTTGGAGCGCTTCCTACAGAATGTGGGGTGGGTTTGACGCTGTGTTACCCTAGGCACTGTCAAAAGTGATGCCATCTGTCTCTGATGTATAGGGATCTGTAGTCCAAGAATAACCCAGAAGAATATGTTGTCATATAGAGAAAAAACAGTAAAAACACTAGCAGAAATTGTATATAACATTTGCTTTTCATGATAACAAAAAAAGGAAATAAAACAGAATGTTCGGTGTAATCGAGACGTTTACAAACTGCCTGATGAGTTTTATTCAATAACCATTCATCAAGCGGGTACCTGATGCCAGGTGGTGTCCAGTGACCTGGACATACAAATACATATAAGACATAGTTCTACTTTCAAGTTGCTCCTGATGTAACAAGTTCATGGACATGCAGCCATTGTGATGCCATCAAGTGCAAAAATGGCAGAGTGTATGAAGCTCTGGGAGCACAGAAGAGACAGAGATGAAGTTGAGGGACGGTTTCACGGAGGTGGCAAAGCTCAACCTGGGTCAACAAGGATGAGTTAGTTGTTTAAGCAGCAGTTTCAAGCAGAGGCTAAAGGTGTAAAAGGCATAGAATGAATGAGACTATATGGTTTAATTAGGAAAATTATGAGTGAGGCAGAAACTATTTGTTGTCATTCCTCTTCTGGCTGATCAAACCCTATTCCACGCGGGTATTGGCAGCCACGTGCTTAGAGGACCTGAGGCCCCTCTCCAGCCAGGGGCTCACCTTTGATAGTCTAAGCCAGTCACAGTGCATCAGTCCCCCTTACTAATGACTGCTTTGGGCAGAGGCTTGAGTTATGAGTTAAACTGTGTCCCCTAAAAAGACATATTGACCTCCTAACTCCCAGTACTTGCAAATGTGATTTTATTTGGAAACAAGACCCTTGTAGATATAAATAAGATGAGGTCATAGGGAGGGTCTTAATCCAACATGACTGGTGTCCTTTTAAGAAGAGGAGAATGTCATGTGATACACACTCACAGGCAGAACCTCACAACAGCAGGGGCAGCCGCTGGAGTGATGCTTACATAATGCCGAGGAAATCTGGCTGCACCGGAAGCTGGGAGAAATGCACAGGACAGATTCTCCCGTAGTCTTCAGAGAGGACATGGTGCTGCCAACACCTGGATTTGGTCTTCTATCCTCCAGAACTGTGAGATAATAAATCTCTGTTGTTTTAGGCCACCCAGTTTGTGTGCTTTGACAGCATTGCCAGGAACAAATAGAGCTGATTAATGAAATGAAAGAAGTGGGGAAGGAGCTGGGGTCCTCTGGGGAAGCGTTTCCTCCCTCTCCCTCTTAGAAGGGCAGGAAGACGTGGCATCTCTCCTGCCTCTGTCCCCTCCAGGGATGGTGGCATGCAGAGCAGCTGGAGCCATCTCACAACAGCAGGGTCGAGCTTGGTAGAACAGGATGTACAGGCCCACAACGATTGCGTCGGGGGTTGTATTATCCTGGAATTTCTGGATTTCTTATCACATGAAGTAAAATTTGCTCATTCCTTGTGAAAACATTTTAACTGATACTTCAAGGGTTAGTGCTGTTGACAAGAAATGATTGAGGTCAGGAAATCTTTGACTTCCTACCAGCAGCTGACCTTGGCTACCATTCCCAGTAAGTCCTACACAAAGGAGACACTCCCCACAAAGGCACATCCCTTAATCCTGGCTACTCCCAAATTTCATTAAGGTTTCTTCCCTGGTGAAGTGGATGGGGCCCTATATGAATCCTGAGGTCTCCTGGCCTTTTTACGCATTTCCTCTCACACTCTCCAGCAATTCTCTACCAACGCTCTGGGCTGGAGCTTGTGTACTATCGCTCTGAGAAGACTTCACTGACTCCCAGGTCAGGGGTAGGGGCCCTGTTAGTGGCCAGCTGGGCACTCGGGGACTTGTGCTATCTGACCACACTGTATTGTGGGCGCCTGGTTACTGTCTCTGTTTCTCACTAGATTCTGAAATCTTGGAGGCAGGGACTCAGTATCCTGCCCCCTCAATACAGGGCCTGCCTCACAGAAGGTGCTTGGTAAATATGTAGTGAGTGAATGAAAATAAGAGACATGGCAGTGCTGACAGTATGCAATCTGGAGTTTGCCTACAACTGTCTCACTAGGGCCATGAAAATGTGAAAGCCGGCAGGACCTAGGCAAAACGCAAAGCCGGCAGGTCAGTCTTTGCTGCAGGCCGTTGGGTCCTATACTGGGATCCCTCCACACTCCTGACCTTCCATTTTCCTCCCATCTTTTATTTCTCTCTCCAGCTGCCTTGAAAATTTTCAAGGTCTGGATCTTATTTGCTTCCTATAGATTGAAAAAAAAAAAGGAATGATCATGGGTCATTTAGAGTGACAACTACTCTATTCTCCTAGGGAAAAAACACAATACATTACCAGTTAAACTACATGGAGCTACTGCTCTGGTAAGCTCCTAAAAAATTAATGTAAAGAATTTATGATAGGGCAGGGAGCAGGAAACAAATGGGCTTTGTAACTGCCTTTGTAACATCGCAGGTAGGTGCTTGCCTACTTCGTCCCTGGTTTCGGTAAGAATTTATGGCAGATCGTCCCATCTTTGATACTTGAGAACATTTTCCCACAATGACCTCGGTGTGGTGTTAACTCAATGTGAGGTCGTTGATTCCTTAAGGCTGGCTATGCATTTATTTCGCAGATTTTTCTTCTATGGAAGAAATTATACACTGTTCTGCTAGGTATAAGAAGTCTAACGGTAATTTTTTTGTCTTTATGGTGAAGGTTATGCATTCAACAAACATTTGGGTGCTTCCATGTATGCACCAAGTACTGTGCTAAGCACCCACTCTTAAATGGTACGACAGACGTGAGCCCTATCCTAGCTGTGGGGGTGGAGAGGAGGGGCCGCAAATAAATATAAAATTCGATCGAAATGTTGTAAATAACAGCAATAGTCTGTTGAGATGGAGAACAAGGTGCGAGGAGGGGACCAAGCTAGGGTGATTAGTTGACAACTTCCTGAGGTGACTTTCGAGCAGAGACTTAGAGGATGAGAAAGAGCCAGGCCTAGGAAACCGGGTCAAGTTCACGCGAAGTCAGTTTAAAATAGCCTCAACCTCAGCAGTAGCCAGGGCGCAGGTCCGAGCGTGGAGGCTTCGCCGCCAGCACTAAACATGGCGCCGGGGGCGGAGCGTGCCCGCGCCGGGATTGGCCGGCCCGGAGCGGCATCACGTGGGCGGCCGCCGAGCATCCGGGCTCCCGCGGCGGCGCTACGGAGGTTCCCGCGAGCGGGCGGCGCGGCGAGCGGACGGCAGGTCTCCCGGGCGGTCCGCGGGCCGAGCATGGCTGGCTCCCTGCCTCCCTGCGTGGTGGACTGCGGCACCGGGTAAGAGCTCCGGCACCACCCCGCCGCGGCCCGCCCCGCCCCGGCGCGAGCACCTGCCCGCCCCGCCGCGCCTCACCTGAGGCCGCGCCGCCGGCCCGCAGGGCCGGCCACCTGTGCGCCCCGCCCTCCCGCGCGGCCAGGCCGGTTCCTGGAAGGGGAGGGTCGCGGGGGCAGCTCGCCCCGCCTCCGCGGGGTCCGCCGGCTTTCGGGGAGGGAGCTGCACACTCTCTGACGTTACCTGCCTCTCCCCACCTGCCCGAGCCTCTACCTTCCGACATTCCCCAAACGGACCCTCGTTCCAGCCCCCCAAGTTCATGTCTTTTCTCCTCGCCGGCAGTTCCTTGCCGCTTACTTGGGGAGGTTTCACGTCGATCTGCCGACCTGACGCCTTATTTGCAGCTCGCTCTGCTCTGCCGGTGCGGAACGGGTCGCCCAGGCTAAGGTCTAGTTTGCGTAGACTTGCCTATTCACTTAAAGAAATGATGTTAAAAAGACTCCATTTTGAAAAAGTCTAAATTTGGGAAAGCCTCTTTACTTTTTCGGTGTGATTGTTTCTTTTGATGTTAAAACATGCGAAAGAGACTTTCGGATATTTCTTGTACTTACAGTGGCCCAAGGTTCGCTGATTTGGGGAAGGTACTTAGTGAATCCATCTAGCCAGTGATTTGGAAATTCAGGCTTGCCTGCTTGCGTTATAGATGAAGTACTTAATAAAATAGCCTGGAAGTAAATTTAGCCTCTTAAAAGATTTTTAAACACGGGCTTTTAATAATTTTTGTCACAAAATCTTCCACGGCATGTTCATCTTAGCCTTGGTGCTTTTCTGAAGAAAAATGCACTTGGTTTGGTTTCCTTGACAACCTTGTGGGAGTGTCTTTAATTTGCTACAGTCCGTCTCGGACTGATCGCCCTGTTGCTGTAGTTTTAGGCAGGAAAAAGCTGCCTCTTGGCTTGTGCGAGTTCTTTTTGAAATATATGCAGCACCGCAAGTTTAGTGGTTCTTTGTTTTGTAAGGTGTTTTGCTACTCAAAACACAAGGCAAAAATCAAAATTGATATTAACATAACCCCACCTCTCCCGTCGTTGGCTCCTTATGCATCCACCCCCAAACCCCCCCAGTCTCAGGGTTCACCCCATGCCCGTCTGAGGTCTGGTTGTGTCAGAGTGAAGGCAACAGGTAAACATATTTAATTGCCACACCTGCGTGTGAGGTTTTTGCTTTTGTATTTTTGGTTTTGTAAAACTATTGAAATGTAAAGCGCTTCTTGATAGAGGCAAGAGGATAAAGCCCCCAGTTTGTCATACCTTTAATATTAGTAAGCTGGGGACCTTACTTGTCACTCCTGCTATAAGTATCTAAGACATGGTGCTCGATATTGACCTTTTGAGCTAAGTGATAAGTGTAACTTTGCTCACTTGGAGCTACATCATCAATACAATCATTTTATGGCCCCAGATCGTGCTGCTGTCTTCATTCTGTTGTAGGCTTTGATGTTCAGACATAAGAACAGTGTCAGGGCACCTTTCTGGTGGGTTTCACGTGGACATTGTCTGTCATGGGACCGGCTGGCTCTGTCATGAGTTCCCAGTGCCCAGTGTGTGGCCAGAGGGAGCAGCCTGCAAGAGTCTACGTTGATTTAAGCATATTAATAGTTCTTATATTTCCCAGAGAGCTAAAATTGTTTTTGAATTAACTTTTACCTCAAAATAAGCTAAAAAGAGGTAGAGTGCACATGGAAATAACCAGTATCAAGGAAAAGCATGGGCCCAGTGGTTGCCTGTAGTCAGGCTTCACATTTGGCCTTAGTCTTCCTGTCTGACACAATTATGAGAGAGCCATCGTCAGTTACACAATTCTCATCATCAGGAAGAGAAGTGCCTGTTTCTAAGGTGAAAAGGCGTTTTATAAGAAGATTCTAAAAGAAAATTCACCTTGTGCTATACACAGTGCACATTAATGATTTAGCAGATAGTGTACGAATCAGTGATTTTTATCGCATATAGATTTCATCTTGGTAGCCAAGCGTCCTCTTGTGATAAACCTTGAGACCGTCTCAACTGCAAGTGTGTTGGGGGCCAGGAAAATAGGGAACAAGGGGTGGGCTTGATCCAAAGATAAATTATCTAAAGGAATTGTGAGGCTGCACAGTTTTCAGAAGATATTCCACAGATACTAGTCTCATGTCTCTTAACATTTTAAATGAATATTTTGCATTTTTTAAGCTTATTTTGAAAAAATTTCACATCTATGGAAAAGCTGCAAGAAGAGTACCAAAAAACTACTATGTGTGCTTCATCCACTTGGGCCAACTGTTGACAGTTGCTCTTCTCATTCTCTGCTTAGCTGTATGTATCACTTTTTCTGAACTGAGAGTAGGTTAACTTGCTGATATTGTGCTTTTTTTACTGAAATGCTTCAATGTGTACTTTCTGAGAACAAGGACCTTCTCTTGTATAATCACAGACTGATGAATAAAATCAAAACAAATGTTTATGCAAGAGTATTATGTGCATTCTGGATTCACATGAACAGTCCCATTTATGTCTTGTGGACTCTCACCCCCTTCCTCATCCAGCACCGTACACTGTGTGTGGTTGTCATCACCTCTTTTAAGTCTCATTTAACTGGACCAATTCCTTAGCCTTTTTCTGTCTCTAAAGACATTCACCCTTTTGGCAGCCAGTTGTCATGTGTAATGCTGGTTTGCCATGTAGGCTTCTCTGGTATTGCTCTGTGATAGCTACAGGGTATTCACTTTTGTCAGGACTACCACGGCAGTGACATTTCATAGTGCAGTCCCATTAGAACACTCCCCCCTCCTTTATTGAGGTGTAATTGATCATGACCTTGTATAAGTTTAAGATGTACAACAGTGTTGATTTGAAACATTTCTATATTGCAAAATGATTATCACCGTAGTAATAGCTCATACCTCTATCACATCACATAATTACATTTCTTTTTTGTGGTGAGAACAAGTAAGATCTCTTAGCAAGTTTCAAATATATGATACAGAATTATTAATTATAATCACTGTGCTAAACATTAGACCCTTAGGATTTATTCATGCTATTAGAAAGAAGGCTTAGGTGGTGATATGCGTCATTCTTGAAGTTCACTTGGCTTTAGAATAGGGCGATGTCCACTGATTTGTCCACTGTACAGTTAATGGTTTTCCCCTTTGTAATGTCATTTTGTGGAGAGGTGTTTTGAGATTATGTAAATATCCTTATCCCTTAAACTTTCACCCATTAATTTTAGTATCTTTTGGTGGTTCTTGACCTAATTGTAGAATGTTGTTTGGAAAATTGTGATTAAAAAAAAAACTCTGTGTGTATATTTATTAGTTAACATTTTACTATAAGGATGTACCTTTTCGTAGACCTCATCTATTTGTTTTTCATCTATACGGGTTATTATTTTATTCAAAGGGTTATAACTCATTATGTCATTCTTGGTGTATTCCGTGGGTTATTAGTACTTTATGTTTTGAAGTTTAAATTATTCCAGTATGGCCAACAGAAATCCATTCATGCTGTTTCTGGTGTTATTTAGACCTGGCCCCATCATTTTTGGAGCATTTTACTGTAATCAAAAGACAGCAGTGATAGCCTTGTGCATGCATGCATGCATCTTTTTGTATTTTTTGCTGAATATCTTTGGGATAGATTTCTAGAAGTGGGATTTCTGGGTCAAAGGGTAACTGCGTATGTAATTTTGCCAGACACTGTCAAATCCCAGTTGTGTGGTATCCTCACCAGCAATGTCTGAGAGTGTTTATGTCTTCTCACGGACTCTTAACAGAGTATATTGTCAAATATTTTGATTTTTACTAATCTAGAAGGTAAGAAATGGTATCTTTTTACAGTTTTAATTTGAGTTTCTTTTATTATGCAGTAAGATGAACATCTCATGTTTAAGAGGCATTTGCATTTCTGTTTTGTCTCTTCATTTCTCTAACCTATTTTTCTGTGGGTTTTTGGTCATATGCTTCTTTATTTTTAGAAACTCTTCATATATTGGAGTGTGTTGGAGGTCCCAGAGACCACCCCCAGGTTCAGTGATTTGCTAGGAACACAACTCGTGAAAAAATACAAAGCAGAAACATCTAAGGTACAAAACACATGAGGTGGAGTCTGGAGGAAACCAGAGCAAATATCCAGAGTCCTCCTTCAATGGAATCACACAAATGTGCTTAATCGGTACCTAGTGTGACAGCACAGCCAGGGAAGCCCATTAGAGACTCGACATCCAATGTGCTTACTAGAGCTGGTCATGGCACCTTCTGTGTAGCACATACCAAAATTCTAGGGCCCTGGAAGGGAAGCAGGGGTTCAGCATAAACTATATTTTGCGTGGTTTAGGCACGATGAGTCCCTCTCATCATTTAGGGAATGGTGGGAGACTTCCTGAAATCTAAGTTCCCAGATGCCAGCCAAAGGCCATGCTTGTAAGCAGGTCTTTCTAAGGATTGTGGTCCTAGAACTCTTAGCTCTTTTCTGCACATAGGGTATTAACCCTTTATGATATAAGTTGCAAATACATTTTCCCTGTGTATCGTTTGTCTTTTGTCATGCAAAGATGTTTTAAAAACTAATCAGATTTACTTCTTTTTCTCATTGTTCCTGGACTTTGAGTCATAGTTAAGAAAATTTTTTTTCCATTCTCAGATTATGTGGGGTTTTAAAAATGGTTTCATTTTTTCATTTAAATCTCTAATCCATTTGGAATGTATCTTGGGATATTGTAAGAGGAAAGGGCATAGTTGGAGCCACTTCTGTCTTTTTTCCTTTTTGCTTTCTTGTTTATCTTAATATCATTTATGGAAAAAACCCAATGCTTGGAGATGCTGCTTTGTCATGTACTAAATTTTTCTATGCAATTGTGTTTATTTCTAGGTTTTGTTATGTGTTAGATTAATCTTTCCCTTTGTACACCAGCACCACGGGATGTTTATTACTGAGGCTTTAGGATGATTTCATATGTGATGGAGTTGGCT